GTGATGGGTGGTGTGGATGACAGGGCCGAGAGGTTTTTTTTTTTTTTTTTTTTTTTTTTGATAATAGAAAACAGTGGAAAGACCTTTTTACCTCTGCATGTGATGTTATTAAAAGAAGAAGGCTTAATTGTAATTATGGTCCCTGAACTTTATGGGTAGTTTAATTTAGTCTAAGAACTTCCATGTTAGTTTCTTTAGTCTTCGAACTTAACAATATGTTGTACCACTGGTCATTTTCACTAACGGCATCCTTTTTTTGCGTTAAATCTAGGGGTATAATAAGAACTTCAACTTAAAACTTAAAAAAAAAACTGAAAATTCATAAATAACTATCTAAAACTTTAAACAAAGTGTAATTTGAACAATAAAAGTAAAAAATGAAAATGGTTGGACTTTAGTAACTTGTAAATATTAAGCAATGTGATTTCAAAGTTAGTAGGAGATCAAAATGTAGTTGGACTTAGCACAACTAACGAATCACATATTAAATTAAGAAAAAAAAAATCCTTTGTATTCAATTTTCTTACACAAAAAAAAAAAAATCTGATTTTTATGGTTTTTTTTCTCCTCATTTTTTAATTCATTTTTAGTGATGTGAGTTGAAGTTCCAAATATATCCCTAAATTTTACCAAAAAATAGACGGCGTTAGTGAAAAGGAAAAATTGTAGCAATTGTCCCTCAATTTTATTTTGGTGACCATTGGTCTGTCAACTCATCAAAATGTGCAGCTATGATCATTTTCATTAACACCATCAAATAATTCCGTTAAATTCAGTCACGTGACTGTTTGTAAGGGAAAAACCCAATTTCAATAAAAGGAGTGGCCACATTTGTTGTGTACATGTTCTATAAAAACAAGCTGAAGCTCTTGAAGCCATCAGAGAAGATAGTGATTTCACTTGAGCCTTTTGGTTTTGGGCTCCTCACTGTTTCTCCGGTGAGGGTCTTACCGAAGAAACTAATCCAATTTGCTCCGAGTGGATTGGTCAACATGGTGGGAATTTGAGGAACATGAGATTGGGCATCGAGGAAGTTTCAATTAGGAATGGGAGGAGTTTCAATTGGGGATGGGTTTTGAGTTCAATTGACTTCAACCCTCGGGAAATATTATGTTTCTTTATTTGCCCTAACAATCATTCTCATGTGCCACGTACGTGACTAAGTTTAACGAAACTATTGGCAATGTTAACGAAAAAGATCATAGTTCCACATTTTGACGAGTTGAGGGATCAATAGTCACAGAAATAAAGCTGAGGAACTATTGCTCCAATATGACCAATAGTACAAAACATTATTCATGAATCTCTCTTCATTTCTCATCCATATTAAGCACACATAACGTCCAATTCATGAATCTCTCTTCATTTCTCTTCTTCTTCTTGCTCTTACATAACCATATCGCACCATAATTTCTTCATTTAGGACAAAAACTTATATATGATCTAAATTTTTTTATCGGTTGTGTTGCTAAAGATTCAACCTTAAGGTTAGGCTCTAGGTCTACTGTCCCATTTTGTGTGTCTCTTTATTTATAAGTTAAATTAGAGAACATGTGTCAAAATTTTATCAAAAGAGACACAAATGAGACACACAAAAGGAAACAGGAGACCTGCAGCCTTAATGTTAGGCTTGAAGCTCTTCCACACCTCTTAAGCGTTCCGATTGAAATGAGTCTTTTTGGATGCTGTAAAACATCGAAAACCTACTCCATTGAGGTCTTAGGAGCTGCCACATTAAATTTCTATACAACCCTTGAGACTGCTCTCCAAATGTTTGACGTAATGCCTCAATTGGTTGTTGAGCAATTCGGCACAGCTGACATGTGACTGAGTTGTTTCGGGTTGATCAATATGGCAACCATGACCAATGATCCCCATTTTTAGTAGTGTCGTGTCTGCCTAACCCATCTTCTGCTCCTATGTTATTGTGGTTACTTTGATCGGTTTTACTTAACTACTAGTGCTTGTACATTGCATACTAGATGGTGTCACTTTTGAAGGTTGAGCCCACTCGAATTTGCATTAAAACCTTGGTCAAATTGGATCTTTCGTTGTTGAATAAAAAATTTGCAAGTATTGGTAACTTTCTTAGGGTAACTTTCTTAAAACTTCTGTCCAAAATAAAAGATTTATGGGGCAAATAATGAACAAAAGTTTAAAAGACCATTTTATACGTAGTGATAAGTACAGAGATTATTATCCTTTTTTTTTTTTTTCTGAATAGTAGATGATTTATTAAAGGATAATACAAAGGGATGGCCAAAAAATGACAAACTAAAACCCAACGTGAATATCGGAAGTAAAAACTGCATCTTACGTAAGATACGCTGCCCGACAAATATTACGAAAAAACAACAAGAATGGCCGCTGTAAAATAATATTCCCAAAAAAATCGTATGAGATAAAACTTCGAGATAGGAAAAAGAGCGTCACAAATCACACAAACTAAAGATAAGAAGTAACTGACAGCCTCTTCCATCCACATTCCACATCCCTGCTCACTATAAGATCCATATCACCAACAAAACAAATAAATAAATAAAATTAGAAATTAAAGGAAGTGGAGATAAGCAGATGTTTGAATACTTACTCAAAAATAGGAGAAAATTAAAAATTCTTCGACTTCTAATTCTGAACTAAAATTCTAATTGAGGGAATATTTAATGATTAGTGCTTCAGTTTTTAAGTATCCTTTGGTTACAATTTAGTTAGCATAATGCTAGGCAAAAAACTGGTAGACTAAATTCAATTGGGTTAAGAAGTGACCATTTACTATAGTAGTGGAAATGTATTAGCTTTTACATAAGACATAGATTCAATTTTAGTCATTGACTAATATAACATCTAATTTAATAAAATTTATCATTTGACCCAAAAAAAAAAAAAATCTCAATTTAGTTAAAAGTTAGTTTAAAAAATTAGTTTATGTAGCATTATTTATTTAGTTCTAAAAAAAAGTTTCCTATGGTATGACACGTGGAAGATACCCATTAGGGGGATGCACGTGCACCAATGGAACGAGATGACTTGTACGCGCGGACACACCATCCTCTCCGTGCACCTCAGATTCCTCGAGAGACCATTTTGTATAAAAACTCAACTGACTGTTCCAATCCCAAATAATTCATTTCAAAATTCAAAAGAAAAGGGAAAGAAAAGCAACAGACCGAAATGGATTTGGGAAAAATTTCAAGGGCAAACTCCATGGACGAAGAATTCGAATTCTTGGAAATCGAAGACGGAGAAGAAGTCTTGGGTCTCACACATTGGGAATTCATCGACGCCTCCGACGCCGACTCAGAGGAAAACCACCACCACCACCGCTCCGACTCCGAACAAACGGACAAAGACGAAGAAGCAAATCGGTTCGATAGGCTTATCATCGGGCCCGCTTCATTTTCCCCTTTGATCCCTCCGCCGGTGGCCGATCCGATCCCCGCCCAACGTCGTCGCCGCCCCCATCTCGTCCGATTTGTGGATGTGGGTCTCAATCTCAAACTCCGTAGCGATTGGGACGACGGCAGCGATGAGGATGAGGGTCATGGTGAGGAGGAGGCGGAGGAGGATGGGTATGGATTAGACGACGAGCTGGTGCCGTGGTCGGTCAGCGACAAGTTCGGGCGGCAGAGGATGAGGAAATTGGGGAAGAGGATGATTCCGAAGATGAACAATTCGAAGCGGTCTCCGTACATGGTTGCGAGGCCTGGCTGCGTTCGCGGGAAGCATGGCCTGGGATTGAAGCATATTTACTGACAAAGATTGGAGCTTTGGAGATTTGGTTATCTTTTTATAACTGGGTTTAGATGTATTTAAATTTAATATGTTAATTTGGTAAATATGGGTTGATTCTGTGTCTCTGTCCGACTTATGATGTTTCATCATCATTTAAGAATATAATATATTTAGTTGATGACGTTACTGTCTCTGTATGTTTTGTTATTTGTTCTACATTGGTTCTTTGTCCATGTGCTTTGTCTTTTTTTTTTGTTTTTTTTGGTTTTTCTGGAACCGGTTTGGTTGAGGTTAAAGTTTTGCCTGCTTGTGATGGATGTTGAGGTAATTAGGGAAGGAAAACGGAAATTTTGAAGGGCAACTATTTGGAATTGGGGTCCATTTGTGATGCAATTGCTGCTTTACATTTGATCAGTCTGATGGTTGATGAATATATCCGTTCCTGCTCCGGAGCACCTTAGAATTTTCGATCCTCGACTTTACTCTATGATTTATGATTGAATTTTGATTTTGTTTTTCTTAGAATTTTGAAGTTTTGTTGGATTAGATTGATGTAGTTGTCCCTTCATCTTTGGTTTTAGAATTAATCAGAAAGAATACTGCGCCTTGAAGAATACTTCAGATGAAATTGCAAGTTTTCCCTTCATCTGCGAAACGAGTGTTGTTTAAGCTGTTAGATTTTGATTTCCACAAGTGTTAGATCTTCTATTTTTAGTTTCAGCATCTCACGTTGTTACGTACCATTGAAGAAAACTTGCAATAGTTGGCATTCCCTTCTGTACATTTGTGAATTCAGGCTACCAGTCATCAACATTTCTGGAATTTATGCTTCCATGTCTACACCATTCACCAGTTTTTTGTTTCTCTTGGTTTATCCTTTGTATTAACGGGAAATTCTTTGTCGCGCATTTTTCTGCATGAAATCCAATGCTTCTTCAAGACCAGTGAAGCTTTGGGCTTTTGAAGGATGCTTATTTATGATCAATTCTGGAAGCTGTATTGTTGCTCGTCCGCTACCCAAACATGCCCTTACATGTTTTGGACTAGTTTCAGAGGATGGCCTTTTGTGGTTAAATTCATGATAATGATGTAAGCCCTAACCCCAACCAAAGCATCTCTTTTATCGAAAGTAAAAGGCGTCATTCCTCAAAATCTTATATCATTAAAACAAAAAGAAAACTAATGAAAAAAAGTTTGAAAACTTTGAATTTTAATAAAAAATCATGCAACAACTTTATTTAATAATTAAGATAAAGCTCAACATTAAATCAGTCAAAATAAGATGACTCGAACAATTAATTTCCGATTTTGCCTCTAACGGCAAGTCTCTTGTCTGTCCAATATCTCTTCCTGATCTCTCTGCAATACTGTGTCTCCCTCTCTCTCCATGACACAACGACAACGATCTCCACCACCACTGCTACCTCAGACCCACCCCGACCCCGACCAACGAAAAGCTTGGCTCCACTGACCTTAATTCAATCTTCCAGTCTTTGGTGTCTTGCTGTTTCATTTGAGCCCATGCCACTCATTTTCGTCTGAATCTGCGAGAGAGGAAGAAGAACCGCGTCTGAATCCTCCTCTTCCGTGCTCTGTCGCCCCAACCGTCACCACCTTCGCCGTCTCACCCGCTCTCAATCATCATCAGGTACTACTCTCACTCATTTCCTCATTGTCTCCGTCCATTGACGTCGAGCAGAACTGCATCAGCGTCTACAACAACGTCGCTGGAGTTCCTGTCGAGATTCACCAGGAGGAGAGGGTCTATGTACATCTCCTGGCTAGTAGCAATTACTATGATACGGTGAAGAAGACCACCGGTGGACGCAACGGCTACGGCCCCAAGGGTACGAACATCTTCTCCACCGAGTTCGTCATCGAGACGACGGACGTGATTTATTGAGGATTACTATGACTAATTTTTCTATGGGGTTGAAATGGATTTCCGAATTCCGATTGACCAAATATTGCAGCAGGATGTATACATGTATCTACCTATATGGGTTTGAAATGGATTTCCAATCGATGAGAGTTGATGTATACATGTACTCTACCTATAAAATTCACATTCTTTCCCAAATGCTCTTCAGTTCACAACATTCACTAGCATGCTTGTGTAAGTTTTTATAAAATGATTGCAGTGATGATAGTTTAGAATGGTTACTTGGATAATTTTTTTGAAAATTTCTGTTGTGATATTTTTGTAGTCTGTTGTTTAATGAAATCTGCATAGTTTGTCCAGTTGGGTTTTGTGTACAGACAAACCGATGAATGCTCAAAACTGTAGGATAAATCTTAGAAGAACAACTTGAAACGGGTCAACAAACTCGTGTAAAAAGTTTGCCTATGGGAAGTCCCGAAGACTCACAAGTTTTTTCGCGTGCTTGACTCTAGTTCATATAAGTTTCTCCTCGATAGTTAATGGTTGTCATTTGTATGATATTTTCCTCACTTTTCATAGGTGAAAGTGGAAGATGCATCTCTTCTTGCATTAGAACACGAAGGCCGTCGAGCATCGCTAGCAGAACCTAAAGTCGACATGTTACGGTAGATGGTCTCTTGCGTTTCGGCGAGGGGAATGCAGGAATATGCTTGAACATTGAAGATTTCTTGTAGATATGGCTTTGGGCTCGCCTGCTTTTCTCTGGGTATGTGAGATGCAGTATTTGGCATTCTTATAAGTTGATCTATTACGATCGGGTGATTTTGAGCTTACTCGGTCAAATTCTTATTACACATCGCTTGCTTGTTCGCGTAACTGAACAACCATTTATACATTGAAGTGTTTGCTTGTAGTTCATTACTGATCTCAAGATCGAGTTGAGACAGGCAATGGTGACCCAAAGTATTTGTATTCTCAAATTGAAATGAGGCAACTTAGTCAAGATTACAACGGAGTTGATGCTATAACCTTGAAAACGAGGGTCAACCTTGACCTTATTTGCTGGTTCTTAAACAAACCTGAAATTGGTGCATTACATGAATAATGATATTTGATCAATTTTTTTGCTAGGAACAACTTACAAGAGAACAATAACTTGGACTCGGACTCACGCGTGTTAGAGGCAAGTGAATTTTACAGGTTGTAAATTGAAAAACTCATCGATTGGTCATTCTGCGTTGAATAATGTAAGTGTTTGTTTCCTTGTTTAACAATGAATTGGCAATTTAACTGTTGTTCCTCACAGTCGGCTTCCTCTAAACCTCAATTGGGAGCTACTGTTCTAAGTATCTCACTAAATGATAGAAAGGTATGAAGTTGGGCTGACATCTGTTCTCTCAGTGATACATGGGTTGATTTAGTAATCTAGTTTTAATTCTTCTTGTTCGGGCGAAGATTTCTCTGGAGAAGGATCTTTGAACCTCAGCACAGCTTCCCAAGGGATTGGCACTTTGGATGTGTAGTCGGGCTCTTGCTTGTTGATGTGCTACAAGAAGAGGACAGAATTAGTTCTGAAAGGTGTCTTTGTGGGGCCTTAGGTGTAGGCCTTGAGGCTCGCAATCAAAACTAAGTGAGAGTTAGGTGTGTCACTACTATCTCAGTATAGCAAATGTAGAACAAGCGTGTTTTTAGTCGATTACTTGTGCCCCAAGTTACTCGGACTTCTTGTTATCAAAGAATTGTCGTGGATGGATTAAGTCCATATTAAGTTCTTTTTCTTGCCTTGTAAACAAGGACTTTTAGTTCATGGTCGTCTTGTATGTTCGAATGAAGGGAGTTCAGATCCCCTTAAGTCATTTATTTGGTTCTTGATTGATTTTAATGTAAACTAACCAGATCCAGATATAGATAAGACTCTTAAAGTAGGAAAACAAGTGGATATGACTTGAATACACACTGAAGAATGCATTAAGTAATAGATCTATAAATTTAGAAAACAAACAAAGAGCTTCGGGCAAGATTTCACCTTGTATGGCAAGGCTAAACTTCTTGCAGTTACTTCTCTTTGAATTAACAGGAGTTTATATGCTAAAAAGGGATGGATGGTAAACAGGTTTACACAAGGGAATCGATACTACGCCGCTAAGGGAGATAGCAGAGCTTTAAACTAGACAGGAGATAGCTTGTCGCTAAAAAAGGACTGAATTTGAGTTGATTTCAGCTTTTGGATGCAAATCTGGCTTGAGAGCAGAGTTTGTATGTTTGTTTGTTTGATTGGTTGAATGTCTTTGTCTCTGGGGCCTCTTCCTCCTTTTATAAGCAATTTAGCCCGACTGCTGTAACTTTGTTCTTACCTGAAAGTACTTGGAGGTAGGGATGGGCAGCGGTTATGGCGGACGGGTAACAACGGTTATTTACCCATAACAGTTTATGTTCATATCCGCATAAACGTTTATCCGTTCAGTAATTGCATAAACGGTTATACTCATATCCATAACCGTTTATAAACGGTTATACTCATATCCATAACCGTTTATAAACGGTTAACTATACTCATAACCGTGTACTCATTTAACCATAATCATTTACTTTTTACCATTTTTGAACCCGTTTATCCTTTTTTTTTTTTACCCATTTACACCTTTTTCACCCATCTACATGTTTTTTATTTTTTTTTATTTTAACAACTTGAAAATTACAAAAGAAAAATTTGTCATAATTTTTGTTTTCTGAAAATTAAACACTGTTATAAGTATATTTTAGCATGCATCGAGATGCCTAATTTAGTATCTTAGCTAATGCTAAATGAGAAATAGGCGCTTGGTCCTCTGCTGCTGAGTTGTCTTTGGCCTGAAATGGAACACAGTCAAAACTCAGATAACAAAATAAAATGGAAATTGTCAAGGCAAATATAAATTGTCCATGTAAATGGGAACCATGCGACATTATTTGAAACAGGTAATCCAACAGTTTAAGAAAGCACAGTATACAAAAGCACATCCATGATATAAATCCTCCATGTTTCAGAATATTTGTTCCTCGGGTAATGAGCGAAACATAGTCCTTCAAAGTGATTATAATACTTGTCCGCCAAATCTAGAATAACCAAAGCGGAGATTTTGATTCATGAGTTATTGATTAAGATTCTTTTTTACACGAAACAAACTTTTATTAATGAAAAAATAGTACAACAAAGGTGGACCGAGTCGTCGAGGAGAGATAGATGAACGGCGAAGATGAGAGAAAAGGCAGCGAGGAGGGAGAGATGAGCAGGAGATGGGGGGGACGTTTGAGACTCTGAGTCTGGCAGAGAGACTGAAAATTTAGGGTTTTTAATTTTTTTTTAATTTTACATATATTAAATTAAAATGGGTAAATAGATATCCGTTATAACTGCGGGTAATACTCATAACCGATGGATACCCGTTATAACAACGAGTAATACCCATAACTGCCCATTTAAATTTCTCGGTTATACCCATAACCATTTGTTTGTCCAAACGGTTACCCATTACCGTAACTATTAACTTTAAATGAGTGGGTAATCGCGGTTACCCAAACCCATGGGTATTTTGCCCATCCTTACTTGGAGGGTAGTGAGTCATCAGCTTTTTACTTGTAATGCCACTGAAAAGTGTTATTTGACTGGTAGTAGGTTAGTCTCCATCACTTGTCACTTCAGTGGCAAGCACCTGGCTTGCATTTTGTTGAGAAGGCTACAATTTGTCTTTGGGCTCGGTGTTGGGCTTCGGGTAGGTTTCCTTTTAGTTAGGCACTGTTGGGCTTTCCTTCATTTAAATCCAATGTTCAAATATTAACCCAAACACTTATAATGCATTAACAATCAGCTCAAATGGGTTGATTTATTTTCTTTATCCTCATAAAATAATACATTGTCTCCATGAAAACTAATTTATCAATTGTGTCAGTAAATTAGAGGTAATACAACCCATTATGATGCAGTTGCGAATTCAACAACATCTGGGGTACTTTCAGCCGGATTGAAATCAGGTCGGTGCGTAATGATGCCTTGGAAAGACAGTGAAGGTAGAGATGAATGGAACGAGGGTCCCTGTAAAGTCATTTCTTGATTATGTTGACCCTACTTACAATATGATCAATCATTATCACAATATGCTTGTTGATTTAGATCAAGATGCTTAATTATTATTGTTGTTCTTTTGTTTTCTTCAAACAATATGTTGTCTAAATTGTAAATTCAATGGATTCATATTTTTTTTTTTCATCAGCAATGTCCAATTTTGTTGTTTCTTCTTTTCCTTTATTTTAAACTCGATCATTCAATTTCAAATGAAGCAACCATAATTTACTTTTGTCTAATAAAGGCATGAGGTTTACATAGAAGGAATGTTGAGAATCGAACCACTTAAGCAACGATAACATGGAATGTGATTAACAATGATGGTAGAACACTATGTAATCAATATAAAAATATTTATGAAACCGAACCAAAATAATTCATACTGTTTATGGAAGGAAGCAAAACAAACACTATTTATTGAACTACAACAAAATAACGCACACTATTTCTTAAGTGAACCACTATTTCTTGAACTACTACAAAATAACCATATTATTTATGAAAGTGAACCAAAATAACCCACATTATTTCTGGAATTATAATGTAATAACTCATACTATTTCTGAAACTAAACCAAAATAACCTATACTATTGTTGGAACTACAACATAATAATCCACACTATTTTAAAACAATAGTATAATCACCCACACTATTTCTGAAAGTGAACCAAAATAACCTACACTATTTCTGAAACTACAACATAATAACCCACACTATTTATCAAAGTGAACCAAAATAACCCACCTTATTTCTGGAACTACAATGCAATAACACACACTATTTCTGAAAATAAACCAAAATAACCTATACTATTACTGGAACTACAACATAATAATTCACACTATTTCTAAAACTACAGTATAATCACACGCATTATTTTTGAAAGTGAACCAAAATAAATTACAATATTTATGAAACTACAACATAATAACCCACACTGTTTATGGATTTGCAGTATAATAACACACACTATTTCTGAAAGTGAACCAAAATAACCCACATTATTTATGGAACTACAATGTAATAACCCACACTATTTTTGAAAGTAAACCAAAAATAATATACACTATTACTGGAACTACTACATAATAATCCACACTATTCTGAAACTACAGTATAATCACTCACACTATTTCTGAAAGTAAACCAAAATAACTTACATTATTTCTGAAACTACTACATAATAACCTACACTTTTTCTAGAACTACAACATAATAACCCAAAATATTTTTTAAAGTGAACCAAAATAACCTACATTATTTCTGAAACTACAGCATAAAACCCACACTTTTTTTTGGAACTACAACATATGAATCCACACTATTTCTGAAACTACAACATAATAACCACACTATTTTTGGAAAGTGAACCAAAATACCCATACTATTTCTAAAACTACAACATAATAACCCACACTATTTCTGAAATTGATCCAAAATAACTCACACTATTTATGAAAGGTAACAAAATAAACACCATTTATGGAATCAAAACTAAATAACTCACACTAATTCTAGTTTTGAACAAAAAATAACTTACACTATTGCCGGAACTATTGCAAAATTATACGTTATTTATGAAACTGAAGAAAACACACTTTCTCGTGGTTATAAAAGATATTAGGTGCTAGTCAAATGGCGGAATGGGGTTTAGGAGGACTAGGCAGATGGAAAGTAAACTTATTATCTATCTTTGGTGCTTTGGTAATTTTCATAGAATGAGATGAAAGTTTATATAATTACAACTCCGTACTACTTTACAAAATATTTTAAAAAAAATCATATGAATTTATTGTAAATTTAAAAAAAAATAAAAGTGTAAAACATGTGACAAAAAAAAAAAAAAAGGCATTTTAACAACAATTTAAAAAATAAATAAATAAAAAATGGAGGGAGCACTGGGATGTGACGCCTGGAGGGAGGTGAGGCCCCATGCCATTTCTTAAGGAATGTACTATCTACATATCCCATATTAATCTCACACACCATTTTAATTTTCGATCGTTAGATCGGATGAATTGAAGAAAATCAACGGAAATAAATTATTAAGGAATGTGTGAGAAGTAAAATAGAATGTATGGATAGCACACCCCTTTCTTAAACATGTTGGGATGCTAGCTGTTAAAATTACATTGGAAAGTAAATTACTAAAACATTAAATATGAAAGAGTGAGACCATGTGGGGTGGAAATGAAGACAGAAACTTTTATTCTTCCTCTCCTTTCCGCTAGGGGTAGTTATGGAAAGTTATATTTGAGTGTGTTGGGCTTTGTATTCCAGCCCGTGTATTATTTTGTCTTATTATAAACCAGTTTCATTCAAATTCCGTAAAATAAATTATAAATATTTTATTACTAAATATACCGAGATTTTTTAAAATAAAATCTCACACTTGTTCGTCTAACAAGTGATTAAGTTGTGGATGATAGTAGCAATGTTAGACCACTGACCGTCTTTCTGAAATTTAGTTGTCTTAAACAAATGTTCTCTCCTTTTTGTGTGTGCCTAGCTTGTTTCGTAATTGACAAGTCGTATTTTGTTGTGTCGTGTGCTAAATGAGCAGAAACTTGTGTCGTGCTCCTGTCTGCCTAACCCATCTTCTGCTCCTGCCTTACTGTATTTGCTTGAATCCATTTTACATATCTTCTGCTTGTATTTGTGTGTCACTTTTGAAGGTCGAGGCTACTCAGATTTGCATGAAATGACACCATTTGGCGCTGAAAGTTGGCCAATTCTATCATCACATAATTATGTCCTACTGCCA